GTTGACCAGGATGGTCTCGATCTCTTGACCTCGTGATCCACCCGCCTTGGCCTCCCAAAGTGCTGGGATTACAGGCTTGAGCCACCGCGCCCGGCCTAATTTTGGTATTTTTCATAGAGACAGGGTTTCACCATGTTACCCAGGCTGGTTATGAACTCCTGATCTCAAGTGATCCGCCCGCCTCGGCCTCCCAAAGTGCTGGGGTTATAGGCATGAGCCACCGCGCCCCGCCAACGTTCAGCTTTCTTCCCTCTGCCAAACCTGTCACACATGCACAGCCTGAGCTACACATTTGAGATTCTTCCCTTCTCTGCACATGACCACCTTTGTTTGGAGATGCTTGTGAGCCGCAGGGCTGCCCGGTCCCGGGACTCAGGCAGGGGAGAGTGGCGGACAGGGCTGGGCACAGGGTGTTGGCCTGGGGCTACCTCCAGTCCTCTTTTCCTTCTCTGTAAAGTATAGGCCAGCCTCCCTGCAGGGTGAGGACAAGGACTGGCTGATGAAGGGGTCATGAGCTCACAGGAAGAGCCTCTCGCCTCTCCCTAGTTGCCTTGTGATAATAACTCTGTCTTCAGGTCTCCAGGACATAAAGCGCTCATCTTTGTGTCTGGGACAGGGAAGAAGTTAGTAATTCAGTGTCCCATTCGTGCTTTCATCTTCACTCTACAGAGACTGCGCATCCAGTCGCTGTTAGAAGGGCAGGTGCAAAGTAAATTCGTCCACGCAGGATGAAGCCGAGAGGCGTAACACCTGCTCATTTTTCCCTCTTTCAACACTTAAGTTCCATCCATGTGTGTGTTACGCAGGTGGTTTGACAAGTCCATCACGTTTGTTGTCTTCAAAAACGGGAAGATGGGCATGAACGCAGAGCACTCCTGGGCAGACGCGCCAATCGTCGGGCACCTTTGGGAGGTGAGGTTTTGCACTTTTCCCTTGAACGTGAGAGTTGCTTTTGAAAATTCAAACCTGGCAGGATGCGGTGGCTCACGCTTATAATCCCAGCACTTTGGGAGGCCGAGGCGGGCAGATCACCTGAGAGGTCAGGAGTTCGAGTCCAGCTTGACTAACACAGTGAAACCCTGTCTCTACTAAAAATATAAAAATTAGTCAGGTGTGGTGGTGCGCACCTGTAGTCCCAGCTACTTGGGAGGCTGAGGCAGGAGAATCACTTGAACCCGGAGACAGAAGCTGCAATGAGCCGAGATCATGCCACTGTAAGCTGGCCAACAGAGCAAGACTCTGTCTGAAAAACTAAAAACAAAAAAGAAATCCAAACCCCACACTGCATTTAGTTTCGTAATATTTCTGTGATTATAGAATATGAATTTTTCACTCATATTAGTAATACATGTGAAGTTAAATCACTAAATTAAAGGCATCCTTGTCTTCACTGCCTCAGCTCCTGGGTTCAAGCGATTCTCCCACCTCAGCCACCCTAGCAGCTGGGACCACAGGTGTGCGTCACCACGCCTGGCTAATTTTTGTATTTTTTTGTAGAAATGGGGTTTTGCCATGTTACCCAGGCTGGTCTTGAACTCCTGGGCTCAAACAATCTGCCTGCCTCAGCCTCCCGAAGTGCTGAGATTACAAACGTGAGCCACCGCACGCAGCCTTGCTCTTGATTTATTTCTGATGTTTCTGCATCAGGCCCTTCTGGAGCTGTGACTGGGCTGTTCCTTCACTGGCTCAGGTCAGCCTGGATCGTGACCCCCACGTATTAGTGGCGCCCTCCACCTGCCCCACCCCCTCGCCAGCGGACAGTTACCCCCGACCCTGGGTTGTTTTTGCCTCCCTCACCAGAATGTAAGCTTCCTGAGCACAGGGATTCCTTTTATTAAAAAATTTAATTTTTTTAGCTGAGATATAAGTCACATACCTTAAAATCTGCCCTTTAGAAGTGTACAATTCAGTGGTTTTTAGTATATTCACAGGCTGGCTGTGCACCAGTCGCCACTGCTCAGCCTCCCGAGTAGCCGGGATTACAGGCACGCGTCACCACACCCAGCCAATTTGTGCATTTTTGGTAGAGGCGGGGTTTCCCCTTGTTGGCAGGGTTGGTCTTGAACTTCTGACCTAAAGTGATCCACCTGCCTTGGCCTCCCAAAGTGTTAGGATTACACGCATGAGCCGTGCACCCATCCTAATTCTGTAATATTTTTACCACCTCCAAAAGAAACCCCTCATTCCATTCTCCCCTACGTTCCTGATAAGCACTAATTTACTTTCTACCTGTCTGTATTTGCCTATTTTGGACATTTTATATAGATGGAATCATACAATATGTGGTCTTCTGTGTCTAGCTTATTTTTTCTTTTCTTTTGCTTTGTTTTCTTTTCTTTTTTTTTTTTTT